TTAAACTTCTATGCTGTCTTTTTAAAACAGAAGGCAACAGTAGCGGAGCCGCTCCACCGACTTTTGGGAAAGGCGACCACGTGGACCTGGGGCCAGAGGGAAGCACGAGCTTTCGCAGCTGTTAAGGACCTGCTCACGTCATCCAGCGTCCTAATTCAGCACTCGGACACCCTCCTGCTCCAACTCACGTGCGACGCATCGCCTTTTGGCATCGGAGCCGTCCTCAGCCACGTTCTACCCAACGGCAGAGAGGCACCGATAGCCTACTATTCCAAGACTATGTCCCCAGCTGAGCGAAACTACAGCCAACTGGACAAAGAGGCCCTCGCCATCGTGGCTAGCACAAAGCGATTCCACGAGTACCTATATGGAAGGCATTTCCGGGTCATCACGGACCACAAGCCTCTACTGGGACTACTGGCGGGGGACAAACAGACTCCCCAATTCCTGTCACCCAGATTGATCCGTTGGTCGATATTCCTCGCGGGGTACAACTACGAGTTGATCCACAAACCCGGGGCCAGCATCAGCCACGCAGACGCTCTCAGCCGATGCCCAACACCTGGCCAGATCGCCGACCCAGCACCGTTTGCCACCGTGCTCCTGGTGGACGTCGACTCCTCCAGCCCGGTCACCTCAAGAGACGTCGCAGAACACACCAAGAAAGACAAACTGTTGGGAAGGGTTTTGAACTGGGTGTTGAGGGGGTGGCCGCAGGAGGCGGAAGGAGAGGACTCCAAGCCGTTCTTCGCCAAAAGAACGGAACTCTCGGTGTGTAAGGGTTGTGTACTATGGGGGGAAAGAGTCGTGATCCCACAAGCCCTATGGAAAAAGGTGATTAATACCTTACACGTGGGGCACCCGGGGATCGTGCGTATGAAAGTGCTGGCTCGGAGCTATTTGTGGTGACCACAGCTGGACAAGGACATACAGGAGTGGGTAGCCACCTGTGAGCCTTGCCAGGAATCCTGCTCAGCCCCACCGAAAGCAACCCCATTGGAGTGAGAGATCCCACGAGCACCGTGGTCCCGTCTCCACGTCGACTTTGCCGGCCCTGTGGAGGGCCGATCTTATTTAATAACGGTGGATGCCTACTCGAAGTGGTTGGAGGTGATCCCCATGCCGTCCACCACAACGAGTGCTACCATCAAGGCCCTGGACGGACTGTTTGCGACCCACGGATTACCAGACGTCCTGGTGTCCGATAACGGGCCGCAACTAACCGCGAAGGACATGGAAGAGTTCCTGGC